CACACACACACACACACACACACACACACACACACAGCAGTTGTGTTGGACTTCTGGGTGTCTAACATTCTGGACTCCGGGAACATCAGTGCTTGTTATGACACAACAGCCGGACGAGTGGTGGATAAATTTCAGAGATCCAAAGCTGGACATGAGCAACTTCTGAATATCAGCTGTTTGTGTGTCAGCTGTTTGTGTGTCAGCTGTTTGTGTGTCAGCTGTTTGTGTATCTATTCTATAACGTTAAGCTGACCAGACTGAAGTCTGTGTGCCAGCTGGGATGTTGCTACATGTGTAGAGAGCTTCTCTGTCCCAGCACAAACTTTGGGATCCACCAGGTACATTTGATGCATGCATTTATGTTTTCAGTCCCAATTGGCTGTGCATTTCTTTGGAGAATAAAACCAAAGAAAGCCACAGCGACACGGCTGCAGCCGCCCAAACCACAGGCCCTGTTTGGACTGGTCTTACCCACAAGCCCAGCGTTGCCCTGCGCTTCTTCAGCGGTGGGAAACAGGGAGCCAGTTCTCTGACTTGGAACACTAAAGCGTGGTGTTCAAACACCTTTTGAAAAAGATTTGGTCTCATCTGTGGGGGCGTGGTTTTACTTTGAGATGAGCTTTTAAAAAACAAGCTTCTATCGTGCAGGAGTCAAATGAAAACTCTGCACACCTGGCAGGCTGGTGCCTCCCCAAGCTTTCAATCACAAGCACCTGAACCACGCTCAAGGAGATGGACGGGTCGCTGCTGGTCACCGATTATCTGCAGTCTTCACTCGGTGCTATCGTAGTGCTTATTCACGGTGGATGAAATGATCAGTACGGGTCTGAACGAGCTGATGGGAATGTGAAAGCATTAAATTCATTTACCCACACATAAGTTCAATGAGAACATTATGTGTGGGAAACGAACGGCTGGTGGTGTCAGGGCAGGGGTCAGAGGGGAGGAGCCTGTGCCTCCCCAGGAGGAATGCTAGACCAGCTCACTGCCAGCTCCAACCCCACAGACTCCAGCAGAGGTTGGCAGGTGAGCAGTGAGCAGGTCTTAAAGGAATGTGCTATAAACGAATCAATGTCTCACACACAGCAGAACTACGTCACACAGTCTGTGTGGAGCAGAATGAGACCCCAGACACAACCACATGCACTCTCTCCTGGTCACACTCTCCAGCTACACAGGTAAACCAACAAAAACAATAATGTAGCATTATGTTAATAAACAAGTAGAAGATGAACTAGAATCAGAATGTGGAACAGGATGACATTAATATTGCTGCTGCTGGCAGCGGCTGCTTTTCCCTTATGTAGGTTACACTCTTGGTTTTTTACTCTGATTCTCTGTTGGAGGGAGGAGGACAGGTGCGGTAGGTCTGAGGGAGCGGTCGCTGGTGGGGATGGTGGGAGTACTGGTCACGTGGAGGCGGGGACTCTAGAACTGTTGGGCCAGCAGCTCACAGAGACGCTTTGACACAGTGTCTTTGCTGCAGCGCAGAGTCAGACGGTACATCTGCACACAGAGACACAGAGTGAGCAAACAGCAGGAAGCACGTGATGGACCCAAGCGATCGGTGCTTTTCACTTAGACGAGACAGGGACCTTCCTGTACCTGTACCTGTGCCTGTGCGTTCGGTTCCAGTCTCAGCAGGCAGCCGATCTGCTGGCCCTTGGTCTGGATCACTCCAGCACACACATAATTCTCCGGGTTGGGATCGATGTTGTCCAGCAGGGCCGTTCCCAGTCCCAGAAGCTGCACACAAACATTAGCAAACACAAAGAGTCACAAAAAGGAACAAGACA